TATTAAGTCATAGGTTAACATTGAAATACATTGAATCTACTCGGTTCGTCTGCCATTTTGACTTACATTGAACTAAATTATCTACACTGAACGAAAACAAATTCTTTGAAAATTCCCGGGAGCGTGGGATATCGCTAGTTATTATATCACTATCTAGCTAGCGACAGTATGATTGGTCAAAACCGGGTCACATGTCGTGGGATATCTGGCGATATTCAATGGCAATGCTAATCAGATAAGACAACCGTGAGATATCTAGCGATATCCCACGCTCCCGGGAATTTTCAAAGAATTTGTTTTCGTTCGGTCTAAATAATTTAGTTCAGTGTAAGTCAAAATGGCAGACGAACCGAGTAGATTCAATGTATTTAAATGTTAACCTATGACTTAATAATATTAGGGATGTTTAGCTAGACAGTGATATAATAAAACAAATATTTCACTCTATTTTCGGTGAATACCTGTAGCACTTTTACAAGGTGATATTCCACTTGCCCCTCGGGCTTCGTGGAATATCACTTGTGAAAGATGTACAGGTATTCACCTCAATAGAGTGAAATATTTGTTCAATATCTCACGGTTGTCTTATCTGATTAGCATTGCCATTGAATATCGCCAGATATCCCACGACATGTGACCCGGTTTTGACCAATCATACTGTCGCTAGCTAGATAGTGATATAATAATGATTAATCCACGCTGCTCTCTGATAATCATCTAAATTCAGTTTTAAATAACTTATAATTTAAGACTATGATATTGAAGGTACATTATACTTAGAAACATTGAGTGTCTTAGTTTTATTGTTATTATTGAATTTTCAGGATTAGTTGCTTAAAACTTCTATTAAAGGCCCACTTTGGGAATTTTTAACATTTTTGGGCGAAATAAAGATTTACATTTAAATTTCAGAGTATGCCCAATATATTGACAAGAACCTCATCTTTCATTTGACACCAACAACAGCTCAAATGGACCACATCAAAGCTTACGATAAATCATCAAAAAATATTTTCGATCTGTCAAGATCTATTTATCAAGTTTTTATCGATGTCATTGAAAGATGGCGAAGTTGTAGAAGTGTTGCCATCTTTTAAATCAATAGTAATTAAAAATATGCACTTTGATTAACATGTGCATGCATGACTAATGATCTCTGAACTCCAAATGCTTTTTTCTATGTAAGTATTTTTTCTTGACTCATTATTAAAGGAAATCAAACTTCGTGTCGTATTTGAGCAAGTATGTGAGTAGCATGTTTCAATGATTATTTTTTAATTTCTTATTCTAAATTAAGTATAGTGTGCCTTTAAGAATTTATATAGATATATGTTTTCAGGAACCGGGTAAAGACTTGATGAAAATTAAACAAGTATACAAGGCTTGAAAGTATAACGAAGAAATACCTCAGCTTGTTGCATGTTTTGGGCACGATTGTCATGTACGTTTAACCTTTCTGAATCGCGGTGAATAGTACACAAATATATTAAAGGCCTCATGCAAAGAAAATAGTGTTTGATAATTCAAATGGAATATGTAGTGACTTAAAAAGTTATCGAGACCGTTTTCAAAAAAGTTGACTTTAAAAAATGTTTCGGTACTCCAATTTTGGGGTATATATGCCAATTTAGCTGCAAAAGTGGTCTTAAATTTATGACTTAATGAAGACAAAATCAAAGTAGTAGGGATTTTGGAGAAGACACCAATTTGGAAAAGGTTTGACTGAAACAGATTGCACTTCATGCAACTTAAAGGTAACTTTTGTTCATTGTGAGATATCATGCACAGCCTTCTCTCAGTTTCCATCTTGTGCATTGCAGAGATGATATCAGAATAACTATTGTTGTACTTTAGGAAATAGAAATCTGTTGATCTGGGCGATAATTCAGTCACTGTTCCTAGATCTTTATGTTATGTATCGAAATAAACTTAATACATCATAAAAAGTGTGTTGACTTTTTACCAGAAACTACCGGGAACATATGGAACGAAGTATCTCTCCACATCCACATTTCACAGACATTCTCCGAGCATTTTCGGTCAGTGCTATCGTATCTCCAGGCAAATATGTGAAGGAATATGCCATACCAAGTGCCTCAACCCCAACCCTTATCCCATCGGTCTTTCCCGTAGCCAGGTTTAATCAAGGGGACGAGCTTTTGCCAAGGGGCGTTGTTTACACTTTGACTAAAACTCCATGCGAAAAGTGCTCAGAATGGTGAAAACTGCATGATTTTGAAAGAATCACTGGCTTCCGCTCCCCCTGGCTACGGGCCTTTATCCTTAACCGCTACCCCTGACCTTCAAGAAAAACCACAGCCTGTGATCTGTCCTCTCCCGAAGTTGAGAAATCCTTAATAGTTTTCTCTCTTAACGTAGAAACGAAAACTATTGACAGGTCATAGCCGGGCATTGAACCAAACTATTGAAAAACTAGCTCATACACTGAACGAAACGAAACTTCCCGCTGGATCACCGGGTATTGATTTTTCCCTTGGCCTTACCGAACAGACGTAAGATGATCTCAGGTCAGGAAAGTATTAATATTAGATCATTTTTTGCAAGACAGACCTTGAATATGTCAGAATGGATCGTTCGATACCCAGACTTTTATGGCATATGGATAAATTTCTTTATCGCTTCTGTGGGCTATTTACATTCCATCTGCCAAACCGTGACCGGACAAATGAAACTATAGGGTGACACAAAAAATGCCAATCGCATTTAATGTTGCATTCCTTTTTTCTGCAAGGATTCTGACTTATTCTTTAGCACCTGAAAACTAGACTTTCCACAAGGAGTTTCAGATGACCATTCCTTAGCAGGTTGCTCAGATTCTACGGGCAAAGTCCCAGATTGGGTTGGTTAATGTTCCCCTGACATGAATACTCCGGGTTTTTAAGACTTGGGGTATTTGAAAGATCATGTTCTGGTAGATAAAACAAACCCTCAAACCATAGAAATTAGAAACCCTGGAGAGAGAGAGAGATCTTTAGGAAGATCTGTGGAGCTCTCTATGGAGGAATGAGTTAGGGTCATCAATAACTTTTCCCATAGCATCAATGTGGGGACGACATTTAGAGCACTTGAACGCTCATTAAAGTATATCGGACTGAGCTAGTCATCAGATCTGGAACTTCTTGTGGATTTGCTCCATCGAGTTTAGTTTTGATGTGCTTAAGAACAATCAGAAAAACTACTAAAGAAAAAAAAGTTATGCAACATTATTTTCGGCTTTTTGTGTCACCCTATATATTCGTTTGCGTTCTAAATTACTCCATATCTTTCATTTATTTGTGGCCATGGCATGACTATTTTTGAAATTGACGTACTTCCCAAGTTTACCAGACTTTTTCCAAGAACCCTATGTATTGCATATCTCCTAAAGCAATGTTTTCGGTGCTCGATAGCTCTGAACGAAATGCCAGTATAAAGCCTTTATATTAATGGTTAAGTACTGCTCTCGCCATCTATATAAGCTATCAACAATAATTCATGATTTATTTTTTATTGCTCTTTCTAATAACACACGATGATGCTTTAAATGAAAAACTGCCATCTTTATGTTGACCCTGAAAGTCTGTTACTCTACCACTATAAAACGTTTGGTAATAACCAACTCGCCTAAAAGATCCCGTTATTCAAAAGGCTCGTTTATGGTTCTCATGGACCCTCCCATCAAATCTAAGTGCCTACGGACTGGCAATATAGTGGTTTGGAATTCAGTGGGTTTAACTTAAAAATGTTTAAAATTTTCGATTCATGGAACATCCCTTGATAATGAATTTGGATATAGAAATAAGAATTAAGAAGAGAACAATTGATACGAGTTTGATTAATATACGGTAGTTTATTTGCAGTTTTGGAACACTGTTTTCACACAACCCCCTAGTATATGAATTTGTTGAGAACGCTATACCATAAGCAATACTCAATAGGTGGCGCTGTTGAAAAGGTATAAGAAAAAACTGAATTGAAGATAGGTGTTATAGTTTACTGAAATCAAGATTATCAGTGCAACCACCAGTGAAAATGTATACACTCGCTGCTTTATATATCACTGTGAGTAGAACTCACTATGGAATTACTCCATCGTCAATCAAGGTTTGCTAAACCTTTGAAGGGGGGATGGGGGGTTATCGCAGGTGACCAGACATATCAACATTTGCATATGATAAATGATCAAAAATAATGAGAAAATATCTTTTAAAAATCATATTAGATTATAAGTCTTAGACAAGGTACAGGTGAAATGCAGGGGCGGATCTCGGAACAACAATAGGACAGGGGTGGGGAAATTTTAGGTCTGATAATATACTAGTACTCCGCGCTTGCACAGAAAAAATCTGAGGCCCGGGTATACAGTCATTAATAAAAAATCAGTCTTATTCTTATTAATAAAAAATCAGTCTTATTCTTATTCAATGTAAGTAATATAGTAATATAGTAAAAGATTAATATACATGTATACACCACACATTACCAACTCAGTACACTAGGGGAGTTTTTAAACATTTTAAACATATTCCTGGGCCTCAGGAAAAAATGGTCCTTAAACAATAAAGTGGGTCCAAATTTTGAACACTTGAGGCCCGTTTTCTTTAAGACTTTCAAAGGACCAATAATGACCATAAAAGACCACTTTTGGGGGCCTTGGGCCTCCCCCCCCCCCTCAGATCCGCCTTTTAAATGCAACACGGAAATTACATGTTAGATAAAAAATGCACCAGAACAACAATTCCCATCAGTTACTTGTTCATCAAGTTACCAAGCTATCTGTTGCTATGGCAACGCCAAGTTGATAGGAAATTGTAGAAGGTCATGGTGATATGTATTTCATGTGGATGGTATATACAGCATGTGTACTAAAAGAACATACATGACATATGGATATATGTTATGTAAACAAAAATGTATTAAATCAATTAATGTTCATCAACTACATGTACAAATGAGCAGCTGGTGCGTTATTAACTGTCTGTTTATTCGAATTATACATATTATAAGCCAGATGATGGTATAGATATAGATCTGATAAAATATCAAATATGCGAAATTAAGAGAAACATTGAAAGAGGATCTACATTACAAGAGGAATGTAACTACAAAGGGACGTAAAATGCTGAAATAGGACGGTATTCGTGAAATTCTGGATAGCACATTTTGGTAAATTCATCCCCTAATTTAAAGCGGCAGCAAAAGATATGTATGTAGAATGTTAAAAGAAATATCTTCGATGAAGTTGTTCAAGTTAGAAATATAGAAATCTCCAAATTCTGTAGAATTCATAATTGCAAATTAATCTTTATATCAAGACATTTTCATGAAATAAATCCAGATCTCAGGTTTATCAAAACTCGGAAACATGACAAGATGCTTGTTTCAAGTCTCTACTCTTGCGTTGTCTATTTTTTATTTAATCATTTTAAGTGAGTATACATCACTTTTTTGAACTCGTAATACATTCCAGTATACATGTACACCCCCTCCATAAGTTTGGCAACTGTAAGACCCACTTGAATCACGTGTTAACGCTTATCTGTGTTTCGCGTTTGAAAAAGAAAATCATAAAATTCGTCATATTTCCGGACTATATTGAAGACATTTACAGGCTTAGCGTGCTGCTCTTATTTAGTAAAAGCTTCTGGTTGTTAAACTTTTTTTAGGGGGGTGTACATCAGTACATGAACATAGTACCCTCTGAAATGGCTATAGCAAATAAATGAAAGCAGTTCTGGGTGATTGTATGCAAAACACTAAGCAAAAATTTATGAGTTGAATAGAATGCAAAAGTTCAAATGTTCACCTATTTAAGGCCTCTAAAGAGGTGTATATACAAGTGTGCCAATACAACCTATATACCCTGTTTACTGCCTACTTTTAAACAAATGAGGGGGTCAATCGGGAAATCGTGGACGAGGGGGGTCCGCGGGGGACTTGATTTTAGAAAATATCACAATTTGCCATATTGCATATGCTATACATAATACCACGAGACATATGAATTTCAAGAACCGTAATCCGCAATATTTCGGATATCGATTTTAATTCAAAAGTAATAAATAAAACAGCTTACAAAACCAATTTTTCAAGAGAGTTGCATGAGTATGTATTGAAATATGCTCAGCTATTCCGCAGTACATATAATCGTTTGAATTTTATGAGCGTTCATTTAACTGTTTAGCGTCGTGCGTGTAAATATAAAAGATCGAGGGTTGATCAATATTCAAAAGACAAATAGAAGAACAGTGCTTCCGTTTATTTTACAAAGAACGCGTACGGAGCTTCGTGAAGGAGAACCACACATGTAAAGCCGTTGGAAGATATGATAGAGGATATTGTACTCCAAATCCGTGCAATAAATATATTGTAAAAAACATCGTATTTAGTTCTAAAAAGGATAATATACATCGTGAAAGTCATAAATTAGATAATGGCACGATGCCATCGTATTACGTATTGATAAAGACACATCGTCTTTACACTATACATTACTAGATATAGTATTCATATTATGAGCGCTTCACAGAAAAACCTTAAGACCCCTTTAACGATTATTTATGTTTTGACCTCAGAATATATCTGTAGCGCTAAACAAACGTACCGATTCATAACAGTAGTGTATAGGCCTATACAGGAACCAATTTACAATAGGAAAACAAAAAGCTGAGAGAATAGGATCGTTTTAATACTAGCTTTTTCTAATTAACCTAGATCGGGAGCAATGGCGGAAAATACTAATATCGAAAGCAAACTGGAAGAGAGAACAACTCCAAGCAGCGCTGGAGTTAAAGACGACGTAGACGATGAACTCATTCCTGTCCGAGCAAATGAAGATAGTGGGCCAGACTTTAATAGCAAGCCAAATGTTGATGTCGACGTCATTGTGCTTCATGATAACCATGCATCCGGAGGTGATACTGGACAGGACGCAATCTCGAAGCCAAATCACGTACACAGTAATAGCGGGACAGCTAATACACACGCTGGTGTCGATTCCGATTGGCGTGAGGTCTACGAGCCTCCGATAGACCATGGGTACGCATGGTTTATAGTAGTTGGTAGGTAGGGCCACTTTTCAGTCATGGTATATTATCACGGGTGCTAACAAGGCATCATAGCTCAGTCACATTTGCTCTACGGTGGGCGTAGCTCACAAATCGATATAGAAAATTTATATCGTACTGCTTATCCCTATATTTCATACTGCACAATACTCTCGATTTTGGGAAGCTACGGCCGCCGTACGGTTGCCGTAGATCAAATGTGACAGAGGCTTTAAGAACAGGGCTGCATATGTATTAGCGAGGGGGCGTCATGAAATCATTTTACTACACTGATTTTAAGGCCCTTTTCAATATTGATTAAGTTGTACATCGTGAATAAAATCTATACCATAAACACATATTAAGTAATACTATACGCTAGCTTATGATATTGCATTACTGTATATTAAATATATGCTTCATCCTTCATGCCAGGGTGCATGTTGGATTTTTTGCAATTTCGAAAAGTAAACCACTGAATATTCTAGTTATTTAAACATTCTGAAGAAGAATCAACGCTCAATTAATAGTCTAGGTACACTAATGCATCTTTTATGCAAGAATGAAAGATGTAGATGATGTGTGGAATTATGTTTATCTGAAAATTGCACATGGTCATGAACTTTCATCAAAGTGCACCCTGCCCTTAAAAATGCATTTTCCGTGTAATGTCGGGTGTGGTTGGACTTTTTTATTTAATCATAGGCCTCTCATCAGTCTTGTTTATTTTAATACAGTCAGGCCTCCTATAAATCTTAAAAGTTATTGATAGCACCCGTATATATTATAAGATCTAATATTTATAGTGACATTATTAATGAGAATAAAGAAAACGAATGAAGAAATTCAGTTATTACTAGTTTCATTTTAAATCTTCAGATGACTGTACAAGAAATAACTGTACAAGAAATCGATCTTAGATCTAATTGTTCTAAGATCTAATATATATCCTTATAATTATCTTACAATTATCTTACAATTCAATTTATCCGATGAAGGATAAACATGGGATATTATACGGGTGCTAACACCTTACATCATTTAATTGCCTGACTGTGTTATAGAATATGCCTTTATTCCAAACATAAAGTGAACAACACATAAAAATGTTTTATGTGTCTGTAAAACCTGTATTTCTATAATATATTACCAAGATCGGCATCACTTTGCTATATTTAATAATGTCACCGCCAGAAGTGAACATATTGTTGTCGTCTCCAACTTTCTTGTGTTCGGCGTCTGTAACAAACGGCAGGTGGCGACATTTTTCATGGTAATACCTTGTTCTCGATTGTCATCGTGCCCTTAGACAGCAGCTGTAGTAAATTCAAAAGAATTAAAGCGTCATTGTCTCGATGAAGTAAAAGGAACGTCTCCATGGCCAAGAAGTGCCCTAAGTGCCCTCTGGGTTACCCAAATTTTACGATTTAATGTTCATAAAAATGTTAATGATCTAAAAACAGTTTTATGTGCATTTTATGGGATCATAAATAAGAAAAACACGTACAGGTTACTCCGCATCGGAGACTCAATTGTTAAGAGAAGGTTTAGGCCTACGTGAATCAACCCCCCCCCCCTATATTCAAATAATTCTTAACATTCACGTATAAACGGGCATTATTTAGTATTTTGCATGAGAGGTCGGTCGTCAACTACTGTCAGCTAAATCGAAGGTGTACACCCATTATATAAAAATATATTTTACTGTTTTTATTTCAGGGTGCTTTCTGATGAATGTTTTGTTCACAGGGTCGTTTAAATCCATAGGGATCCTTTTCGTAGAGATTCGCGAGGAGTACGGCGCCAGTCCGGGAATTGTGTCGTGGCTGGTTGGCTTGTTTGGAATATCATGGGCCTTATGTGGTAAGATGCAGTGCAATTCCGAACGCCATTTTTGTTATATTCTCTCTACAAAATAAAATATGGTACATAAGCATATTAGCATTGAACGTATTTAACATTTACAACCATATACACTCCCCTCCACAACTCTTGTCCATTGATAGTGCAGGATCGATCGAACTTTTTGAAGTGGATCATCTACGAGTACGTTTCTTTAAAGATTCCAGTACGCACTGGGGGGTATCGTGATGCAACAACACCGTGTTGTTGCATCAAGATGGCCAGACTTCCGGTGATAGATTTTCGTACGATGTTTTGTTTTCCCAATTTACACCCATTTCTAGGACGAGTTGCTCAATAATCATACACATGCAGTTAGCACATGATCTATATTTTAAAAAACTGTCATTGGTATACACGTAGCATCATCAAGAAGCGATAAATTCGTGGTTTTAATTCCTCACTATTGATGCAACAACACCACTCTGTTTCTTATCGATGATGCAACAACACCAATGTGCTGATGCAAAAACGCCAATATAATGTATCATTGAACAACAAGAGAAACTGTTTTATGTTCTGTTTACAGGTGTAGGTTGGGACATGAATAAAACGCGTGAGTCAGTGGTCCATGAACGAAACGTATTTTGTTTGGTTTCTTTGTCTATATCAAAGTTAAAAGGATATACAAGGCAAACTAAATAAAGTACAGAATCCCCGGGAGGCAATCTCATTGATATTGTATCTGTCTGAAAAATAAAGATTATACATTTTCTAAATTAAATGCCCTTGATTTACTGTATGGAAATTGCTTACAAATAACTAATATAATTTTGGAAAGACAACAGATATCAGTCATTTTGTGTTGTTAGTACCTCAATTGAAATACTCAATTCTGATTGGTTGATGAGCGGGCAACAAAATGTATTGTTAGTACCTCAACTGAAATACTCGATTCTGATTGGGTGATTAGCGGTCAAAATTATGTACTGTTGACCGCTACTAGGTACTGTTGACCGCTACTTCTGAAAAAAAGTTTCATGACGTCACAAAAAAAACATGGAAGACGGACATTTTGTAAATGTTGAGGAAAATGACTTTACTAGGCGACAAGAATAGCAAAAATACAAATAGAAACTTAAAATTAACATTAATTCACTAACGAGTACGCCGTGATGTGCCAAATACAGAGTTAAGCTTCTTGCACTGTCTCCATATTTTCTAAAAAATATTGCTAACGTGGTTCGGAGAAAAGGTTGTGAAATGAAGCCATGCCGATTGATGATCGTCGTCTATATGTGTATTATTAGTTTACTCGGACTAACAAAACAATTGTAGATCTCTCCATTCGATCAACCGTCAAAATCATATACCTCGACTGTAAACCTTGAAACTACTGTTGACCTCGACCTTCGGTCTCTGTCAACAGTATTTTTTTGGTTTACAGTCTCGGTATACAATTTTGCCGGTTGGCCTCTGGGGAGGTCAACAATTGTAAACTGTTGACCACTACTAGGTACTGTTGACCCCTATTTTTGAAAAATTGTTTTTTTAATGTTGAAATTTTTTTAATTTTGAAAAAATAAGTTGTGTAAAAAATTACAAGTATTCGACGGTTTGGGGATTTTTTGCTAAAATATGATACCTTTACTTATCAAATATGTTCACGTGATATTCGATTATATATTCGTCCAATTATTATATTATTTGGACTAACAGAACAATTGTTAACCTCTCTTTTCGGTCAACTGGCAAAAGTGTCCTCGACCTCTGGTCTTGATCAACAGTACTTTCAAGGTCTACAGTATCGGTATACAATTTTGCCAGTTGACCTCAAGAGGGGTCTACAATTGTTTATTGTATATCCTTTGTTATCCCACCCAAAGTTTGATGTCATATATCAAGTTGAAGAGTTGTATACGCTGCTCAGGAGTTTACGCTATCCAGGAGTTGTACATCGTTCTCAAGAGTTGTATAGGATGAGTGTTGGTTTAATGATATTGCAGTTATACAATGCTATTATATAAAAGTTATTTACTGAGAGGGATTCAATATTGGTTTTATTTCGAGAGACAATATGATATTTCCCGAGGGCCCGGGATATCTGGGATAACTGTACCCCTATCAATTTACCTTTTTGGGCCCTAAATCTTTTCACTTTTGTTTACCTTTTTACTCAGTCGGAGAGAAGGAATCCAAAGAGAGCAATAATTCTACATGTGCGTCGTGCAAGATTTCCATTAAACGTGTAACTAAACGGCCTCTCTAATAAAGTCAATTAGACGTTTTTACACGTTGGCTCTCCAAATTGTAGGAAATAAAGAATCATGTCATATTATATCATAGATGAAGCAATCATCCCATCAACATATCAGCTCACGAATGTCACAGTTAAACTGTTTTAGTTATAATTTGATAAACAGTGGTAACGTACATCTACTAGTTTATCACTGTTCCACAGAAGGATGACAGATAATATCATGATAATATCCAATAGCTCATCATGTTTACCGAGAACGAAAGATATTTGTCCACCATTTTGAATGATACTAACTGGAGTCAGGGTCATCAAGCTATGGAACAGTGGTTTATGAAAATAGATTGGGTTACTAAAGCTTGCCATGTTAAAGGCGATTGAACTATGTTATAGAATAACGTCCAGTACATTATAATATGTAAAAGTATAAATTTTTGAAAATACATATAAAGATCTTCGCCCGCAGGACGTGTATTTTGAATGCCTTGAGAAGAACGCAAATATGGGTAGGCTAATTGGTAACGGTATTGCAATAGTAGCATTTAAAAATCTGTTCCTCTCGAGATAGTCTTCTGAAATTATAGTATTAATTGGTGTTGCTGCATCATTGCTCAAATCTAGAGGAGTGTTGTTGCATCTTCGGTTTGGTGTTGTTGCATCAATAGTGAGGAACTAAAACCGTGAACTTATTGCTTCTTGGTGATGGTATATGTATACTAATGACAGTTTCTTTAAATATAGATCGTGCGCTAACTGTACGTGTATGGTTATTGAGCAACTCGTCCTAGAAATGGGTTTAATTGGGGAAACAAAATATCGTACGAAAATCTATCACCGGAAGTCTGGCCATCTTGATGCAACAACACGGTGTTGTTGCATCACGATACTCCCCAGTGAGTACGGCAACAGAGGTGGAATAACTATACATATGATTAACCTTTGTCAAAAGATTTGGATTTATTGACAAAGACAATTTAATTTATTCAAAGGAAGGTCTCTCAAGTTCTTAATTACGTGTACGAAGGGTTGGGATTAGAATTTTTCAATTCTTCGTATAATTTGACACAAAAATGTACGTTTATAATTCAAGGCACATATCAGATACCAAATTAAACCAAAAACTGATATTTAATTCCTCCTTTATCGACGTTGTCATGAAAACGGGATTTAAAATACTTTTTATATATCAAATATGTGTTGGTAATCGAGAATCACATTTCATAGCTATAGACCACCCCTTTACTGTAATTCATACTCAAGACTCACGACTCACGTACTGTGTATTTTAGCCCCGCTTGCAACAGGTTTGGGACGACGACACGGTGCCAGAAGGATCGTTATTTTTGGCGGCATTTTGTGTGCTCTTGGCCCAATCCTGACAGCGTTCGCTCCGAACATCATGGCAGTAATATTCTTTTATGGACTCCTCACAGGTAAGTTTTACATGTACACTCCCCTCCATAGGTTTGAAAACTAGAAGTGTTCATTTGAGAGCGTATCAAAGTCTCACAATGTTGAAATCTTGATCAACCTTTTTGAATACAATATTTCTGGAATTTATGATGACTTTGATGATTTATTAAATCGCCAAATGAATCGCCAAGAAAAACAGGCTTCGGTAATTAAGTGATCCAAAAGGGGCTTCCAGATTCCAAACTTATAGAGAGAGGGGTGTAACTCAATCAAGGCATTGAATTTTTTTATTTATTTATATATTATTTATATGAAATAGATGTCCATGGGGTAATATAGTAAATACAAGAGAGCATATTCAAGTGCTAATCACCATTTTGGCACTCTAGCCTAGCGGGGAAAAAGTTGAAGAGGGGTGGAAGGGGGTTGGGGTCTGAGCTGGGCTGGGACTGGGGGCATTGAAGTTGAGAGAGATAATTTTGATGAGAGTAAGGGAGGGGGCTTATGAGATATACATGTAGTCGAGTTTATTACAGTGACGCTAGAGATTAAATATCAGGTTTTTAACTTACTGCATATAATAAAAATGGTGATGGATACAGTAAAAACCAACAGAAAATGATGATTTAATACCGCCATGATAAACCATGAGATCTCATTTTCTTTCTTTCTCAGCCTTGAGATATTTCTGGTGAAATAGAAAGATGCTATAACACAGTGTATAAGTATCAGAATCATTTATAACATATGTATTTTTGACTTCCAGGAATAGGGTCTGGTTTTGCGTATGGCCCAAGCTATATTCTGGTAGTACAGTACTTTAACAAACGGAGAAGCTTGGCCAATGGTATAGCAGTTGCTGGTTCGTCAGTGGGTCAGCTTCTCTTCCCCCTCCTTCTTAGACATTTGGTGGACACGTATGGATACAGGAACTCACTGATTCTTATAGGCGGCATAAATCTCAATATAGTACTCAGTGGCGCCCTCTATCGGCCATTGGACTTCTATAAGAGGAAAGTAAAAATACGTAAAACAACTAGCAGGATCAAAGTATCTGAAATCGAGTCTCTTTTAGGGGATGATCGTAGCCTTGATGCAAAGCCATCCAGTGACTCTAGCAAACTCCCTATCAATAAACAATTGAAAAAATTAAAATTGGAAGATGGTATTAATTGTTCCAGCGAGAGCTTGAAAGATGTTAAACTTGAATCTGAAAAGTTGGTCGACTCTGAAGACGAAGCTGGTAGTATCCACGAAGGGAAAAAATCTGTGTACCGTTACGCGAGCAACTTATCCCTTGTAGAGGCATCTGTGCAAGCACACGAGGACCACATACAGCGTCAACTTAGAGACAGCACTGCGACAGATATAGCCCAAAAGAAATATGGTTGCCTTAAGACATGTTTAAAAGGTTCACCCTCAGAGCCGCCCTTGTTCAATTTCGCACTTCTTAGGAGTGCAGTATTTATGTTTTTCGCAATATCAGTGATGGTTAACAACCTAGCATATTCTTCCCAGTTTATGTATCTCCCACCATATTGTAAAGAAATTGGAATATCTAAAGAAACAACGGCAATGGTGATGTCTATAATGGGAGTAGGCGATCTCGTTGCCCGATTATTCTGTGGTTGGTTTGGGGATTTGGGCTACATAGAACGCCGCCATATCGTTGCCATTGGCATGACAGTACCGGGTCTAATGTCAATCATTTTACCGTTTATTAAGAGCTATCCAACGTTCTTAATCTACTCTATCATCATAGGTGTATTCGGAGGGACTTTCATTGCTCTATTAGCAGTCGTACTGGTTGACTTTGTGGGGATAGAACTACTAGAGCCAGCGTTCGGCAATTGTATGGCTTTCGCTGGCATTGGATTCCTAATAGGACCGACACTAATGGGTAGGTCATATCTTTGTAATCACTTTAATTATATTACCACAATTTTCTTTCTTTATTTTACAGTCGATGCTTAAAAGAAATCTGTATAAATAATACCTTGTTAACTTGGGTCTTGATGGGGTTGTGGCAACTTATAAATATAGCATCAAGCTCTGAGCAAGAAAAAACAGACTCTCTCCTTCATTTTGGAAAATTATATATGTGATGATCTGATGACAATAGCGACGGTAACACTTCAACGACAAACACACCGTGTCCTTTGTAATAAACGATTCCCATCTTTTTCCAGGCCAGGTCCGCACAGCCACTGGAAATTACGACTTGCCATTCCACATAGGAGGGGTGTTCAATATTATGGGGGCAGTCCTTTTATTGATGTATCCTCTAGCAAAGAAAATAGACGATCGTAAAACTAATTGAACACGATTTTCACATTGCTTTTTAATATCTACTTTATCTATCAAATAGGTTAATATTTTTGGGGAATTAGACCCACCTATATGTGAATAGCGGCTTAAACGCAAATCAATCATATTCTACGACAATTTTGATCAGTATAGTCTTAAGACAAGTAACACAATCTCAAGAACTGTAGTTCACTAAACATACCGTGTCCTTTGTAATAAACCAAAGGACCATCTCATATATCATTGTAAACGAAAATATAATAGTACGGAAGCAGTACAGGTTTAAGTGATTTTCCCATTTATTTTAATAAAAGTGTTTACAAGTACAATGTATTTAAAGTTTAAACAGGTAATGTATGTATGTATCTTGTATATGTCGAATGTACATATTAAGATAAAACAATTATTACAACTTACTAAAAACATTCATTTTGAGAATTTAATATAAACTGATTTTAAAAACCTTTTAAAACACTTGTCAAACATTCTACCTTGTTCTTTCCCCCAAATTTCAAAGACATCATCCCCTAACATGTATTTTAGCTTCTCCTCAGGAGAGAGAGAGATGAATTCAGCTACTAAAAGAGCGTCACATTTTGAAGTTATATCATTTATAAATTGTAACCTTTCATTAATGAACTTAGGGCATACAATGAATCGGTGAATTAAATCTTCAATGTCATTACTTTTACAATGAGGGCAAATTCCATCACTTTTCTTCCATCGTTTATTATCCTCCTCCAAGTTAAAGCACCCAGTTCTTGCCATGAATTTTAACCTGGAGCAATAGAAATCGATGTCATCTTGGAGGTAGTTCTCTTTAAATGTATGTTTCTTAAGAACAGTGTAAGTTTTCAGTGATGTTCTCTTATCTATGTTATGAGAATTGAACTTCACTCGTGTCGTGTCTGACTATCAACTGCGTTTATTCCATAGATGTGACGTAACACATTTGTACAATTATGACATAACATAAAGCATCTAATTAACATAATTAAGACATTATGACATCTCCCCTTTTAGGATGATAATACACTAATGAATTGCATGTAATATGTCCATCGCATGTCTTAGCAAATAAATGAATTTTGCATTGTCCTTCATGCATATAGAAACCTTGTAGTTTGTATATAAAACGTATCAACGTCAGCTTTAAAACATAAACATTATATAGTGATAATAATGTCAGTCTTAATTGAACACTTAATCATTTGCGATTCACTAACAATGCATCACAATGTCCGTTACATAAATCTGGATGGCTTTTTTGCAATTATACCAGATTTAGAACGTGTTTGTATGACTCTTGGACTTGGCAACAATTCCATTCTTGGTTGAGGTAAATTCTCTTTAACATTCACAGACTGCTTACCATGATCCACAATGTCGGGCGAAATACCAGAACTACTAGGATTGGTAATTGTGGGGGCGGGGAATTCCATTGGAAATGGAATAGGACTGAGATCCCTTAATTTAGAGTTAGGGTCTGGCATTAGATGGCGTCTATTTCGTCTAACAGTACCCCGGTCAGTCTGTACAATGTACGATCTTGGTGAGTCATGTTTGGCTTTGATTATACCTGGAGTTTTCCACCCTTTTTGATTGTCAAGTTTAACGAGTACTTTGTCACCTTTAGGTAATTCTGTCAAAGGTTTCACACCATGGCGATTGTCATAGTTAGTCTTGTACTTTGCCTTAGCACTGCTATCGTGCTTAGCAATTTGTCTAAAGTTGGGCCAATGTGGACTTAAGTTGTTGGGTAAGGTTGGTACAGTCGATTTTATTTGTCTTCCCATCAACAATTGTGCTGGGGAAACACCTGTGGACATATGTGGCGTAGAGCGATAAGTGAGAAGCGCGAGAAATGGGTCATCCTGCGATAGGAACCGTTTGATTATTTGCACTCCTCTCTCTACTTGTCCGTTTGACTGACTTAAATGTGGCGAACTAGTTATGTGACGGAAATTGTATTTCTTAGCAAAATCTGCAAACTCTTGACTTGCGAATTGAGGACCGTTATCCGACACAACATCAGCAATACCATATCTGGCAAATATGCCTTTCATTTTGTCTATCACATTCTTTGATGTAATGTTTTTATTCATGAGCGCGATCTCTGGGAAACGAGAGAAGTAATCCACGATCACCAACCAGTGTTGATTCTGGAACTCGCAAAGATCCGCTGCGATTAATGACCATGGCCTATCAGGTAGAATAGTAGGTATTAGTGGTTCATGCTTTTGAGTTGGCCTTGAAACAACACAATGAGCACATTTACTTACCATATCTTTTATCTGCGAACTCATTCCAGGCCACCATACAGATTGATTCGCGCGCAATCTGCATTTTGTAATGCCCAAATGACCATGATGGATGCGTTCAAGCATATCCCTCTGCAAACTCCGAGGTACGACAACACGCGAGCCATGTGTTATAACTCCGTTATATAAACTCAACATACCTTGTTCTGCAAAATATGGCTTGATAGCTGGCGGTACACTCTTAATAGATTGTGGCCATCCAAGAGAAATGTATTTGTTTACCTGTAAAAGATCAGCATCCAAAGTTGTAGCTTCGCGGATTTTCTCCAATAACCGATCAGCGATAGGTCTATTTCTGTCAAGTGAGTACAGATAAGATTCTATATCTACTTCGAAATCATCCTGTTTTTCATTACACGGTTTCATCGGGTCGCGCGATAATGTGTCTGCTATTACCATATCCTTTCCCGGGACATATTTAGCACGCACGTTGAAGCGCATCAATCGCATAAGAAGTCTCTGGCACCTAATCGGCGCTTTATCAATGTCTTTGGAATTTATCAACGGGACAAGGGGTTTGTGGTCCGTAAACATTTCAAATTCGGGTAAACCGACTAAATATCTGGAAAAATGTTCACACCCCCATACCGAAGCAAGGCATTCCTTCTCAATTTGGGCATACTTCTTTTCCGATTCAGATAAACTTCTTGATCCGAATGCAACCGGTCTCCAAATGTCATCTTTACTTTTCTGAAGAAGACACGCCCCGATTCCGTAGCTAGAACTATCTGCGCTAACAATAGTAGGACGAGAAACGTCGTAAAAAGCTAGTACCGGCGCGTTGCATATCATTCGTTTGATTTCGTTGAAAGCATTATCTTGGGCTTTTTCCCATTGAAAAACAACATCCTTTCTAAGCAATGCATACAACGGAGCTGCAACTTCAGCTAAGTTTTTCACGAAACGACATAGAAAATTGACCATACCTAAAAATCTACGTAGTTCTGTGACGTCAGTTGGTGTATTTAGCTGTTGAATTGCCTTTATGTGTTCTTGTGAAGGAGCTACACCGTCCTTTGAAATTCGATTGCCAACAAATGTGACTTCCGGCAATGAAAACTTACACTTTCGGCGATTGAGCTTTATCCCTACCTTTCTTACGAGTTCCATCACGTTCTTGAGATTTTTATCATGTTCTGCTTGAGTTTTTCCATGTACGATTATATCGTCGATTACGACCTCGGCACCATCAACCTTCGAAAATATGTCACTCATATGTCTCTGATAAAGTTCACTTGCGAAGTTAAGACCAAATGGTACGCGATTGAACTTATACCTTCCAAAAGGCGTAATGAACGTAGTCAATAGAGATGATTCGTGATCTAATGTGAGACCCCAAAAAGAACTCGACGCGTCCAAAATACTAAACACGGTGGAGCCGGCCAACTTGTGCAAAACGTCTTCTGGTGTAGGGAGGATAAACTTCTCACGTTTCACACTGAGATTTAGACGACGTAAATCCACACAAATTCTTGGATCAGCATCATTTTTCTTTTCTACCGCGATAATGGGAGTAGAGGTCGCAACGGTACTGAAAACCAGTAACGGTAACCGTCATGCTAATAACCGTACCGTTACCGAAATACCGGTAAAAATATGTAAGATAAAATGCCAATGCGCTGCCACCCCCACCATGTATACTCGTTGCCGACGACACCACTCTTATTTCGACAACCCCAAATGCTTTACAAGCACTCCTAGATATTGTTCTTTCTTACAGCGCAAAATGGCGCATGATTTATCATGCAGGTAAAGGCAGCAAAAGTAATATTGTGATTTTTAATGAGTCAAAAAGAAATTTTGTAAAAAATCAAGGCATGCGTAAATGGCACATTGGAGCTGAGTCAGTTCACGAAACCAGAAAGGTCACATATGTTGGTAACGAAGTTACTCCAAATTTCGATTCAAAACCTCTGGCCACATCGGCCAAAAAGAAACTCAATGCAAAATTTTATTCTTTAAAAAATGTGCTTAAGCTACACAAAAATGGATCAAATCCACTGATTTTTTCCAAAATTTGGAACACGATCATACTCCCGCGTGCCATTTTCGGGGCTGAAATGTGGTGTCTCTCTCCTGCTGATGAGGACACCCTGACTGTTACCCAGAGGAAAATTTTCAAAACTGTACAAGGGCTTGAAAGTCGAGTCTCCTCAGATGTAGTTCTGGCAACCTTAGGAGCCACGTCAATATGTAATTCTATTACGATAATGAAATTGAATTTCTGGCACAGACTTTGTGTCTGTAAACATTCCTTTACACGATTCATTTTTCTTTACAGACTAGCCTCGTACATTCTTCATCCTGTTGACCATTTAGGCTTTGTTAGCGATATCATGAGTATTGTCGCAGAGCACAACGTTCTCAAGGAATACGTTGACGGTTTTGTAAAAAGCGGTCAAATCATTCAAAAAAGGATTTTCAAAAATATTGTAAAAGGCCAAATACGTCTAAAAGAAGAAGAGTCGTGGAAAAATCGAGTCAAAGCAAACTCAAACCTTGTTATATTTCAACATATTCATCAAAATATTAAACCGTGTTTCGCATGGCAAATAGGTCTTAAGTTTCCAAAATACACGTGGTCACTTGGTAACCTCATTAACCTGGCCACAGATCCAAGTTATAAAATGTATCGTTGTAACAGTTGCCACAGGTTATGTGAACGTATCATTGTGCATTATTTGCAGTGCGAGTATTTTTCAATGCATAGGAACATCTTCTTTGAAAAACTCATCGACCATCTGCCTATAAGTGTGGGTGTAAACCTGTTTAACCTCGACGATGAAAAACTAACTCACACACTCCTAGGCAGTAGGTCAGATTTGTTCTTGGATGATTTGATGTTTGAGCAATTCATAATAATGTGTAGCGTAAGCCTTTTTGACATTAAAGGTTTCTTCAGGTTTGTTCCACAAGATTCCACGACTCTTGAGGAGTATACTTGAATATACCCTCATCCTAAACAATGTAAATAGTACATCTGAAGAACATGCTTCTGTAAATACGTTGAATCGCCTTTTTATACTTTTAAC